AGGCTTAAGGGCTCACGGGGCCCTTCATAGCAGCTGCCACAGGACAGAGTCAGGAGATCTCAGTGCCTGACCTCCAGCCAAATAATCAGATGGTGGTGCAGCCAGGAAGTAAGCTTAGGCAGAGAGAGATGCCCAGGAGTGGGAGTCATGGTCAAGGCGATGGGAGAGGATGGTGGTGGGCAATGGGTGTGTCCAGGTTCCCACAGGGACTTCATATTTAAATGTTAACTGAACAGTAACATCTGGAGAAACTTTACACAATCGGTCAAAAGTAAAAGTAAAACAACCTAGGAATCTACAGTCATAGCCTCCCACCTTCATGTGTGCGTGAAGTTAGACACACAGATATCCATGGACGTACTTGTATATATGGGTCATTTTGAAACTTGCTTTTTTGCTTGAGATTGCATCAGTTACAGGTTCCCATTTCGATTTATGTAGCTTATATGGAGTTTTTGATTGTGGAATTTTCCACTTTATGTATATACCATGATTTATCAAGCCATTCCTGATTTCCTTAGTTGAATATGTCCTGAGCATCTATTAGTTCCAGGCCTATTCTAAATGACGAGGATTCAATAGTGAACAAAAAAAGTATTTGCCCTTGTGAAACTGATGTTCCAGTTTGATACAGAAAATAAAACCATTTAAATAGTGGCTTGATAAGGTGCCAGTGAGATGAGTGTGCTACAAAGTAAAATATAAACAGAAAAAGAATGTAGGGAAGAGGTGGCCCTGCTATTGTTAGTGACCAACCACCCTCGTGTGCCCAGGACTATACTAGTTTTAGCACTGACAGCCCGGAGTCTCAGAAAAACCATGACAACCTGGCATCTATAATCAGCACAGGCCTCTCTGGGAGGTGATCCTAAAGCAGAGACCTCTGTGATGTCTCGACATGCAGATGTCTTGGGGAAGAACTTCCTAGGCAGAGGGAAAAGTAAGTGCAAGGGGCCAGAGACCAGAGGGCACTTTGTGTGTTTGAGGGACAGAGAGAGGGAGCCAGAGCAGCTGGGTAGGATGAATGAGGCAGGTGGATGCCCTGAGGATAGTCAGGGGGTGGGGGGAATGGGAAGCAATGAAGACAAGCTGGAGATGTGGAATCTCTTAAGAACTTGGCAGAGACTCAGAACTTTAATTCTAAGTTCAATGGGAAGATACTGGAGTTTTTAGCAATGAAGACACGTGATCTGATTTCCTTTTTTTGGTGATATTGGGGATCAAACCCAGGGGTGCTGTACCCCTAAGCTATACCCCCATGAGTCTCACTAAGTCACTGAGGCTGGCCTCCGATTTATGATCCTCCTGCCTCAGCCACCACACCAGGCTTGGTAGCCACTATTCTACTCTCTATTCTCTAACTCTTATGACAACTTTTAAAAATTTCACAAATGAGTGAGATCATGCACTATTTGTCTCCCAGTGCCTGCCTTATTTCACTTAACATAATGTCTGCCAAGTTCATCGGTGTTGCCAGAAATAACAGGATTTCAACCTTTTTATGGCTGAATAGTATTCTATTATACATAATCCATTCATCCACTGATGGACCCGTAGGCCGATTCCGTATGTTGGCTAATCATGAATAATGCCACCATTCACATGAAGCGCAGGTGTCTCCTCCCCTGCAGGTATTATTTCTGGACATATTTTGATGGGATTCCATGAGAGAGTGGGATTGGGATGAGGGTGCTAAGTTTCCCGGATGACTTCCGAGTTGCTAACTTGAACTTTTAAATAGGCAGTAGAACCCAATGGGAGGAGCAGGCTGGGGCAGAGTAGAAGGAATGGAAGTCCTGACTTTTTTGGGCCATTTTAAGACTGAGTTCCCTCTGGATAGCTAACTAATGAAGTGTCAAGGAAGCAATTGGTTCAGAGTTCAAGGGAGAATTAGAGCTAAAAAGAGAAATTTGGGAGCCTCCGAATATAATCAGTGAAGCCATTAAACTGGTTTTGATCAACTAAGAAATGAGTACAGATAAAGATCCAAGGCTAAGACAGGGTTGAAGGATAAAGAGGAAGGAATTCAGTGTCAGTGACGGAGAAGGAGCAGGCAGGAAGCTAGAAGGAGCCCCAGGACCTCTGAGGTCAACCTCTCTCAACGGCAGAGAAGTCGAGGAAGAGGAGGACCCAGGATTCCTCTCTGGCTTTGGCACATGGAGGCCTCTGTCCACCAATTTACTGGACTGTTGGGATGGAAGCCTGTTTGGAGTGGGTTCAAGACTGAAAAGAAAAGGGAGCAGAGACGCTGAGTCAAGACAGCTCCTTTGACGAGTTTAACTGAGAGAACAGAGAGATGGGCAGTCTCTGGACAGAGGTGGAAGGTCAGGAGCAGGAGCCTGAAGTGCCCGTGGGAACATTTAGGCTGCTGCTGTCACAGTTATTTTGTTCTGATAACTAGTGCTGCTGAATGAAGGGCCATCAGGGTCCTATTATTGGAAAGAAATGCCCTTGTTCCGGCTTAGTGTTTTGTCAACGCGGCCTCCTGCAGGTCTGTGTGTTGGGTCCACGTTTCTATTTTGTGGGAGATGAAAGACTTTGATACTATTCACTGGTGTTTTCCTGGGTCAACACCTGCATTTCACAGCTTGCAGAGAGCTCCTGAGGCCACTGGGCTTAGTTCCCTTCCTGACCAACAACCCCTCTGCCCAGCTCTGTGGGTCCCTCTCTTGGAGTAGGTTATAGCCACACAGAAAGTTCCAGAAGGACAGGGGCTGTGTTGGGCTCATCAGCTCCTTCATTCCCTAGAACATCAGCTCCCCCTTCAGGAGCCCCAGGGAGCAGATATTGTCCTGTGAGAACCCAATGATCACCCCTGACAGCAAGGCCTGTGTGTGCCAGGGTGCCCCCGGGACACTTTTTTACACATCAGGAGAGCTATGGGCCAAGCAGCCCTGGCCTGGCAGGGGTGACTCAAGGGCCACATGCTCAGCAGTAAAAGCAGGAAATCAGCTCTGCCTCTCTGAAACAGCTGCAAGTTCCTCAGTGGCAGAGCACTGTCAGCTGCCAGGGCCCAGGTCTCTGGGACCTCGTCTTCAGCCCACGTGATCTACACAGTGCCTGGTTAGGCTGCTGGACCATATGTTCTTACAGACAGGCCCCCTGTACATGTGTGCACACGTGCATATACACACAGAAATGTACTGCTCTCCACAAGTATGGACATCCACAGATGTTACCTGGTTATATCGTCACATAAACACACATAGGGATACAAACTTATACTCATCTGCAGACAAACAAGGAGACCCCACATAGAGACTCCCATCCACCCCCCCACAAACACACACAAGCACACTAACATGTATACAAATACACATGGACGCACACGACACGGTCATGTGGAAGCATACCACACACAAACACAAATGATACACTGACAAACTGACAAACAGACACACTGACAAAAATGTACGACTGCAGTCACATCAACACACACATTCTTACACACACACACACACACACACACGTACCTGAAAGACAGGGCCACATTGACGCACAGAGACACACGGGTGCACATCAATGCCCAGTACAATTCCTCATGCACATGACACAGTCCCATATATTCCAATAAGCCCCATGTCCAGGCTCTTCTGGGGCTGCTGCCCACCCCCTGCTTTCCCCCCCAGGGGAGATGGTGTCCATGAGGGAATAGAAGTCTCCTGTCTTGTCTTAAGCTCTGCTGGATCCCGTGTGACGTCAGCCAGCCCCTTCGCTGCTGCTGGGAGTTCTGAGCTCCCTGCTGGGCCCGGTCGGCACCAGGCACTGACACATCGGCCCTTGTTGGGAGAACAGTGTGGGCTCTCTTGTCCGCTGTGGTCCTCGGCTCTAGCCGCTGCTTCTCCCCGAGGCCTCTCCTCAGCTGCACAGGTATGTGGGGCCAGGGAGGCCAAGGGCTGGCAAAGGAGCCACCAGGGTGATCAGGGAAGGTGTGGCCCCGTCGTGGGCTGTCCTGGGGAACTCAGCCCTGGGTGTGGGCTGAAGTCGCTGCACTCCCTGTTCTGCAGCTCCCTCTCTCGGGGCATGGCAGGACGGGCTTCTCAGAGCAGCCTGGCTGGAGGAGTCCCTCCTTCCCCTATGGTCACTCTCCAGGGCCTCTCTTATACAGATGGGTGGTTTCTACTCAGAGAGACCAGGCTGTGGCCCAGGCCCCTCAGCAGGCCAAAGCTATGGTCTTGGCATGCACAATTTCCAACAACCCCCAGGAACAACTAACTGGGCTCTCAGGAGAGATCTTGGCTCTAAGCCTTGACCGTCCAGGTAGGAGGTGCAGGGGCTGTGGGGTCCGAGCACCCTGAGCTGGGTCTGAATGTGCTGGCTTCTTCCGTGCTGCAGTGTAAGGGCGGGGAGGACACTGCTGGTCACTCCATCCGTGGCCTGATCTCAAATCAACTGACTGGCCAGTCTTGCACCTCTCCATGGATTCAGTCCAAGGTCCCCAGGACAACTGCTGTTCCTGGGCACTGGGCAGAAGTCCTTGTGGCAAGGGGGTAATAGTCAGTATAGAGCCCAGTCTGGAACTATCCACAGAATCCAGGGTCGCCAACCTGCCTATATGGGAGTCTGGGGAGCACAGCCTGCCCCTCACAAACTGTACGACTCTAGAAAGTCCTTTGCTAGGCCTCAGGTGTCCACCTGAGAGGTGGGGGAAGATTTAAACGTGGGGCCTACTTGCGGCCCTGGCCATCCTGGATTTCCGGAGCTGCCATGACTTGCAGGGGTCTTGCTGCTCTAGCTGTCCCTGACCTTTGAAAAGACCCAGCCTGGAAGGGGCCACCCTGACCACCCCTACCCCTTCTGAGGTGTTTGGTGAGAAAGGCTGGGCCCAGGGGATGTCACTTCTTGCCGTCTCCAGGTAGGGGCTGCTGGACTCCGGGAAAGGAGCCACTCAGGCTGTGGCAGGGATTCAGGGTTGGGGAGGAGGGAGAAGGCAGCCAGGCCTGATGCTTGGGATGGGGCCTCTCTCACACCTGTCCCTCCCTGTGCCCCCAGAGCCACCTGATCACACCCTCAGAATGGCCTCTAGCCCTGACGGGATGCCTAGCCCACAGGTGAGTGTTCCTGGCCTCCCACCCAGCACTGGGAAGCTCACTTCCTCCCAAGGCTCAGGGAATCTGTAGGGACACCAGCCAGCCCTATGGGCTGTCCTAGACCAGGACTGGGAGGTGACAGGGTCATCGTGAGCTCATGGAGGTGGGCCATTTGCAGAGTGAACTGAGGAGAGATTGGGGCAAGGGCTTCAAGAAGTGTATGAGGTGGAGGAATTACGGCATTGATAGAGAAGACAGGGGGTTCAAGTCCCAGCCTGTTGCCTGTAAGACCTTGACCACAGCTCTTTGGCCTCGTTTTCTCACCCTTACATTAGCACACAATAGCCAGCACCTGTCCAAGGTTCTTGTGAAAAGCAGGTGGGATGGTGGCTATCTGGCTGGGGTGGACAGGGAGGTACATAGGTGAGTAGAATGGTGGAAGGGAACTGAAGAAAGGATGGAGGGAGAGATGGAGGGAGGGAGGGAGGCTGGTAGCGATGTTGGAGAAGGGACCAGAGCCAGGGCTGGGGAAAGGGAGGAGGTTGACCAATCTTACCCACCTCTTCCTTTAAATGTCAGCCCTCCAGAGCCAATGGGAATATCAACCTGGGACCTTCAGCCAACCCAAAGTGAGTTCTGGTCTCTCAAGTGGCTTTCCTGCCTGGCTCCCCTCAGAGCTGGCTCCTCATGTCTTGGGAATACAATCCAAACTCTCTGGCCTGGTGTTGAAGACCCTCTGCCATCAGGGCCCAGGGCCTCCCCCAGCATTGTCTTCTGCTAGTTCTCCAGCCTTTGCCTGTATTGAACCTTCCATCTGGAAAGCCCCCAGGACTTGCCCTGTTAGCAGCTCCCCAACTTCATGCCCTTCCTGGGCTGGGGGCCAGATGCCTGCCTTCTCTGCAGGGTGCCTGCTTTCTCTCCCTGCCTATTGTTAACTAGACCACGAGCTCCCAGCTCCCCAGCTCCGTGGGGTGAAGGGTGAGTCTTGCAAGCCTCTCTTGGCAGGGAGGACAGGATGTTCTCAGGGTCAAGGAGGTGTGGCTCCAAAGTTAAAAAGAAGCCTGGGTTTGCCCTTAGGAACTAGATTTCCTGAGCTTGCAAATGCCGATCATGTTCTTCCCTTGTCCCCAGTGCCAGGCCCACAGACTTCGACTTCCTCAAAGTCATTGGCAAGGGGAACTATGGGAAGGTGAGTGGGGAGATGGGGGTGGGAGGCCTCCTGCACCCCTGCCTGCCACTTGCATGATCAGAGAGAGAGAGCTTGCCTACTGCAGAATGCAAGTAGGGTGAGGGCTGGAGGTCACCCTGGGGGCGTCCAGAGTCACCCAGAGGGCTTGTATTCCTGCTTCTGCTCAGGTCCTACTAGCCAAGCGCAAGTCCGACGGGATGTTCTACGCAGTGAAGGTGTTGCAGAAAAAATCCATCTTAAAGAATAAAGAGGTACTGGAGCTCGGGCAGGCATTTCTTCTCCTGCTTCTTGACCTCCTGAGTAGCTTCCAAAGATGGCTTCCACCTCCGAGGGGTCCAAGAACATTTGTGCTGAGGTGGTTACAATAGGGGGTCCAGCTGGTGTCCAGGATTATGGCCATTCTCCAGAAAGGCAGGTGAGGCTATGCACCTATAGGGCTTTTAGGAGAACCAGCCCAAGCCTCTGACTCCCCATGGAAACACAGGGCTCCATGACAGATACCTTTTCTTCCCTCTCTGGGCTCATACTTTATGTGGGGCCACACCTTATATTCTCCAAAGGCCCTTCAAGTCATGGCCAGCCTGGATTTCTAGATACCTCAGCCGACTTGAGTCCCTTTAACACCCAACCCCATTAGGAGAACAGAGAGAGAGGATTGAGTATCCAGTTAGGAGACTCAGGGAGAAGAGTGATTAATGCACACAAGGATGTCGTGGGGGTTCAAGGGGAGGTCTTCTGGAAAAAGAAGTATTGAGTTGGCCTTGTCAGTAGCATTCTAGTAGTCTAAAAAAAGGATGGCTGTCCAGGGAGGGAAAATAGTAAGAGCAAAGATGTGACTATAGATAACACGTGGCTTTTTTTTTCCTTAAGGATTTTTCCCTGTAACTCATTTATGAAGGTCTCACATATAGTTTGCTTTCCACCCCGGGAGCAACATTTTTTGTTTGTTTTTGGTGATGAGGATCGAACCCAGAGGTTGCTCCACCATTGAGCCACAATCCCAGCCCTTTTAATTTTTTATTTTGAGACAGGGTCTTGCTAAGTTTCTTAGGGCCTCACTAAGTCGCTGAGACTGGCCTTGACCTTGTGATCCTCCTGCCTCAGCCTCCCTGTTGGCTGGAATGGGTCAGGAATTGCTGATTCAGGGGTTGAAGTTATTATACCAATAGGTATAATAGGTGGGAATGAAGCTAACCATGCTGAAGCCTGAATATTAGGCAAGGAGACTGGGCTTGGCTTGAAGGGCACTAGGGAGTCTTTGAGGGTGTTTGATAAAGAGCTTAAGAAAGTCCTAGGCAGGACAACCCCAATAACAAGGCCATGCTGGCTGTGCCAGTGAGGTAAGAGAGGCCTGGCGAGCTGTGACATGGACCCATCTGACCCCACAGCAGAGCCATATCATGGCAGAGCGCAACGTGCTGCTGAAGAACGTGCGGCACCCCTTCCTCGTGGGCCTGCGCTATTCTTTCCAGACGCCTGAGAAGCTCTACTTTGTACTCGACTATGTCAATGGAGGAGAGGTAAGGGGCCAGCTGTCGGCTGGAAGGCATCCACCCACACGCCCACTGTGTGCCAAGAATGGTCTCACCTCATCCTTACAACAGACCCATTTTGTAGCTGAAGAAACTGAGGCCCAGGGAGGCCGGTCACTTGCTCAAGGCCATCCAGCCCGCGCCAGGATGTGAACGTAGATCTGACTCCCAGCCATGCTGCTTTCTTGTCTTTCTCTCACAAAGCTGCCCGTAGACTCCCTTCCGTCAACCTGGGAAAGGTCAATGCTAAGAGATGCTCTGTGGTCAAGGTTTCCAACTCTCCCTTTGATACCACAGGCCACAGGATAGGAGGTAGCTTGTCACCATCATAAATGGAGCCAATGGTGACCCAGAAGCATGGCCGAGCATAAGCTGGGCTCCCTCTTGGACTTTACTCTGTTTCACTGGGCAAGTTGGCAAGATTTAGTGGGACTTGCCTCCATGACCCCAGATTGAACCTGTGACTGAATGACTTTGGGTCGATCTTCATCACCAAGCCAAGAGGGGAGTTTTTATCCTGCAACCCTAAGTAAAGGGCTTTGCGTGCCAATAAAATAGACAAAGCGTTGGTCCACGGGGAGATGTAACCTGGCCTCAGTGTGACCGCCATAATCATTGTATTGCTTGGGTTGGAGGAAAGGCACATCTTTAAACCACCCAGTTTCAAATTCCAGCTCTGCCAATTATGAGCTACATGACCTTGAGCAAGTCCCCTAACTGTTCTGACTCCTCCCATTTTCCTCTTACGTGAAACTGGCATCACATGGGTACCTTGGCTGTTGTCATGAGGATTAAATGAGATAAGATGTGAAGTGCCCGACTTGGAGCCTATGCTTAATCAATGCTGGGAAATCTCTCCTTCCACGGTCACTTTGGACATGGTGACTACCCTGTGGGAAGGAACTGGCCTGCAGCTCAGGTGGGGTGACTGTGCCCTAGAAGTGGAACCAGGATCCCCCTCACACACCTCCTTCTCCTCAGCTCTTCTTCCACCTGCAGCGGGAGCGTAGGTTCCTGGAGCCCCGGGCCAGATTCTATACTGCTGAGGTGGCCAGCGCCATTGGCTACCTGCACTCCCTCAACATCATTTACAGGTGAGGACGGCCTGTGGCTCAGAGCCGGGCCCAGGCCCTTCCTGTCCCAACAGCCAGGGGGTGTATGGACCTCTAAACTCCAATGAGATCCCAGAGGACAAGGGCTAGGTGTCCTCCTCCCGGGAGCCAAGTGCCCAGCCTCCCTGGGCTTTCCCTCTACACCCTGGGAGCCTGTGTGAATAGTCCTCCTGCCAGGACCCAGGGTCCCCAACTCTCTCATTATATAGTCAAGACTCCACCAGGCTATTTTCTCTTATTTTCTGCAGGGACCTAAAACCGGAGAACATTCTCTTGGACTGCGAGGTTGGTGTGTGTGTGTGCGCGTGCACATGTGAGCGCTCTGTGTGTCTGTGTGTGTGTATTGCACATGCATGCACACGGGGAGAGGGTGCACTTCTGTACGCATGTGCATGGGTGCCCACACATATGTACACGTGTATATATATGTGCACTATGTGTGCATGTGTGTGTGTGTGCACATGTGTACACAAGGTCTGTGAGACAGGAGGACTGGTGGATTTTATAGTCCTTCCTTGTCTTGGATCAGGAGGGCAGTCTGCCAGAAGGTTCATTGGGGAGATACAGGTTTAAGGGGTGAAGAAGACAGGACTGGGCAGAGGAAAAGCTCACCTGCATGGTGGCTGCAAGCAAGGTCTCACTGATTTCAGAGAGATGGGGACCCAGGCTGGGATGGATCATAAGGATTGTCGTAAGGGTTGTCCCAAATCGAGGCCCAGAGGCTGGACTTTAATGCCCTGCCTCAATCTATCACTGGATATGAATGTCTCTGGGGGGAAGAAGCAGGTCCCAGCTGTGGGGGTGGCAGCTTCTGCAGGGGAGATCTGGGCAGTTGCAGTACCCACCCACTCCACCCTCCCACCCAGCTGTCACAGGTCCCTCTCTCACGGGGCTGCTGTCCAGCCAGGACATCCTGGAGCTTTCACTGTCGTGAGTCTGGGGCTGAGTCCATGATGAACTAGGAAGACAGTAGAATGCCATGTGTCCACCCAGTGCCCCATGGTACTCTCCAAGCCCTGGGTCTGAGTGGAGTCTCCAGCCCATGTCTGGGCCTCAGACCCACAGCCACGGCCTGCTCGGTGGCATCTGGGCTTTGGGGTTTGGCCTGGACCTCCCTCGGCTTAGACCACCCTCCCATCCCTGCCGTCTCTCATCCTCAGGGACATGTGGTGCTGACGGACTTCGGCCTTTGTAAGGAAGGCGTGGAGCCCGAGGACACCACGTCCACATTCTGTGGCACCCCCGAGGTAAGTGTGTATGTCCTAAGAGAGTGCAGGCCATGAACAGCCAAGGCCACAGCTCCTAAGTAGAGCCATCAGGTTACAGCTGAGGGGCTGCTGCCATCCCCCCAGGCTCCCCTCCCCCCAGCCAGATGTGTGCAGAGCCTTGGTTTCCTCCTCTGTATAGTGAGAGATGCTGGAATAGGCCCCAGCCAGTTCTGGTGCCGCTCTGTGGCAGTGCTCTCCAAAGGAAATAAAATTCAAATCACATACGCAATTTAAAACTTCCCTGCAGCTTCATTTAAAAAGTCAAATGACAAGGCTGAGGGTGTAGCTCAGTGGTATAGCCCTTGGCCAGCATGTGTGAGGCTCTGGGATCAATCCCAGCACTGCAAAAATAAACCAAAATAAAAAGAAGCAGGTGAGCACTAAGCACAATAGTGTGTGTCTGCGATCCCTGCTACTTGGGAGGCTGAGGCTGGGTGGTCACAAGTTCAAGCCCAGACTGGGCAACATAGTGCGGCCCCATCTCAAAAACAAAAATAAGCCTGGCATGGTGGTACATGCCTGTAATCCCAGTGACTCAGAAGGCTGAGGCAGAAGATTTCAAGTTTGAGGCCAGCCTCAGCAGCTTAGCGAGGTCCTAAGCAAAATTAATGAGATCCTGTCTCAAAATTTAAAATAAATAAATAAAAAGGAATGGGGAGGTAGCTCAGTGGTAAAGTAACCCTGGGTTAAATCCGTAGTACAAACAAACCAAAGCCCCACCAACAAAAAAATCCCCAGGAACATTGAAATTAATTTTAACTATATTTTATTTAACCCACTATGTCCCAAATATCCTCATTTCAACATACAATAAATATAAAAATTATTGAACAGTTCATGTTTCTAAGGCTTTGAGATCAAGCACATGTTTTACATTTGTCACACATCTGATTTGGATTAGCCACATTTCAACTGTCCAGTAGCCACACATGGCTAGTGGCTGCTGTACTGAACGGCCCTGCTTCATAGGGCAAAGTCCACATGCCACAGGCGGCCTGGCCTGAGAGTTAAGATCAGGGCTCACAAGAGTCAGGCACAGATCCACCTCCGTCTCCGGCCAATGAGAGCCTGGAGGGTTAAAAGTTGTGGGTCGCAGCAGTAATTTCACCCATCTTCCATACACAGGAGGCCCAGGCCTCCCTGCAGCTGTGGGGTTGAGAACTTTCCTTGAACTTCCACCAGTCTTGGACCTTGGACTTTGGACCTTGGACCTGAAGGAGACCCCAGTGGCTTGGACAGGCATAAGGACTGAGGCTGTAAAGCTGGGCAGCTCCTCCTGACCTGAAGTGGGCCAAGACTTGAGCTGCTCTAGTCTACCCCATTTGCTTGGAAACCTGGGCCTCAAATCTCAGGTGAACCTCCTTGGTCTGGCACAGATGCCCTCTCTGAGCAGGAGCTATTGTTTATGTTTGTGCATGGAAAGTGTTCCCTGAATAACGCTTGTCCTCCAAAGCCTGATAGCCAAGCCATCCAGTCCCGGACATGGCCGGGAGCTGGCAGCTGGTCACTGCTGATTCCTGAAGGAGACATATGGCCTCAACACATCCCTTGTTCCACAACTCCGCCACCACTGTGGTTTCAGGGAGTGCAGACAAGAGTAACCACTGTTGCTCCCATTGTTCAAGGGCCTGTAGGTAGCCTTAAATCAGCCACCAGGAGGGATTCTGCATCCCCCCCTTTTTTTTCAATATATTTTTAGTTGTATATGGTCACAATACCTTTTTTTTTTCCATTTTTTATGTGGTGCTGGGGATTGAACCCAGTGCCTCATACATGCTAGGCAAGTGCTCTACCACTGAGCCACAACCCCAGCCCTCTGCATCCCCTTTTATGGATGAGGAAACCAAAGTTCTGAGAGGTTAAATGACCTGTCTGAGACCACACCAAGGAGGGCTCAGGTCTGTGTGACTCTCTGCCCTTCTGCTGACCCACACAGTCTCTCAGGGTAGCTTGGCATGATGCTGAGATCACTCTCATCATTAGCATAGATTCCATGTTAAGAGGTCACCAAGCTCTGGGGTTCAGTAGAAGGTACAGCCTGGATTCTCTCTTTATGCCAGGCACAGATGCATGGGAAGCATTCCGAAGTGCCACCTCTTTCCTGACCTCTTCTCTGCCACTCAGGTTTCCAGTCCAAGTGTGTGCAACATGGCTTAGACTTTGTCCATTATTCTCCCCACCCCGTGAATACTCCCTGGTGCTCTTATTCCTAGGACACCAATAGCTCATTAAATAACTCTGTGCAAATTAGAAGGCACCTGCTCTGGGCCGACTAAGTAGAAAAGTCACCCCTGAAGCAAAATAAAGTTGCCAGATAAACTTCTGAACTAGTGTTATAGCTTGGTGAGTGGACCATGGCCAGGATTGCAGCCCTGTCCACATCTTTGGCTGGTAAAACTGTGCAGCTGTGCAGGCAGTCTTGCTTGATCTCTCTGTCCCCAGTACATGGCACAAGTCCCTGCACTACCCAGGCCTTTGGTGAATGGATGCCACATGAACACGGCACACCCCGTGAATATCACAGCAAGCTCCACCCCTGCTCATCTTCTCCTTTAAGTGCTTTGCTTACAGATGGAAACACTGAGGCTGAGCATCTTTTCTTATCTACATTTTTATTGGTGCATTTTAGTTGTCTGTAATGATGAGATTTGTTGTTAATTAGCATAGGCACACAGTATAACAATATAAATTGGCCAACATCGGTCCCGGCACTTCCCCTTCCTTCCTTTCTCCCACTTCCCGGTCCCTTTCCCCTATTCTACTGATCTCCCTTTGCTATTCATGGGGTCACCTGCCACCTTTCTTTTCCTTTTTCCTCTTTAGTTTCCACATATGAGAGAAAACATGCAACCCTGACCTTCTGAGTAGGAATTATTTCATTTAACATGATGGTCTCAAGCTCCATCCATTTTATTGCAAATGACATAATTTCATTTTCTTTATGACTGAATAAAACTCTATGGCATATATACATATCACATTTTCTTTATTCATTCCTCTATTGATGGGCACCTAAGCTGGTTTCCACAGTTTGGCTATTGTGAATTGTGCTGCTATAAGCATGGGTATGCATGGATCTCTATAGCATATGGTATTTATTTATTTACTTTTGGTACTGGGGATTGAACCCAGGGGTGCTTTACTACTGAATTACATCCTGGTCCTTTTTATTTTAAGTTGCTTAGGGCCTCATTAAGTTGCTGAGGCTGGCCTGGAACTTGCAATCCTCCTGCCTCAGCCTCCAGAGTGCTGGGATTACAGATAGGTATGTGCCACTGTGTCTGGCAGTATGCTGACTTTAATTCTTTTTTTTTTTCTTTGTGGTGCTGGGGACTGAACCCAGAGCCTTGTGCATGCAGTGCAGGCACTCTACCAACTGAGCTATATCCCCAGCCCTGATTTTAATACTAAAGGCTAAATATGGAGGAGTGGTGTAGCTGGCTCATATGGTGGTTCCATGCCTAGTCTTCTGAGGTGCTTCCACACTGATTCCCATAGTGGTTGGACTACTTTACAATCCTACCAACTGTGTAAAAGGGTTCCTTTTCCCCCACATCTTGAGCATCTTTTAAATAAGTGTGTTTCCCCAACAGTACTTGGCTCCTGAAGTGCTTCGTAAGGAGCCTTACGATCGGGCGGTGGACTGGTGGTGCTTAGGAGCAGTCCTCTACGAGATGCTGCATGGCCTGGTGAGTGGGGAGCCCCTGTCTACAGGGGACATGTGTCTCTGGGGAGAGCTGAGGGGGGGAGTCTCTCCTTCATGTGGCTTGCTCAAGCTGTGTTCAGGGAACTAAATGAACCATCTCTCACCCCAGGTGAAAAACGGTGATGCCAAAGTGAATATGAAGATTCGATCTATTTTTTTCAATAATGTTAGTTCAGCACTTTACAGTTTATTACACACCATCTCACCTTGACCATGTCGATACCGTCTGGGAGCCTGGTACCATAGAGCACAGAGTTGTTCTTATTTTACTGAGTGTGAAACTGAGGCCAAAGAGGTCACAGTCCTTCTGGAAAGATTGTGAACCCAGCTTAACTGCCTGGGTAGGTCTCCGCCTGTGTGGAGCGGGGGGTTCACCAGCACAGCATGGTGAAGCAGGAAGCTGTGGGGGTCAGGAGAAAGACCAGCTGGGAGGGGAACAGGAGGAAGAGCGGCAAGGAAGAGAAGCGGACCCCAAGTAGGGTTTGGGGCCTCTCTGTCTTCCTAGCTGTGCAGGTTATTGCTCTGAACTTTGTCTTCTCATCCGAAAAATCAGAGCCTCAGAGGATGGTTGTGAGCTGGCAGGAAGTGCCGAAGGTCCAGGTGTAAGCTTGGTGCACAGCTGGATTAGCAGAGCTGGGATGGGAGATGCCCCTGGGAGGTCCACGAACTTCCCACTGGTGGGAAGAGCTGTGTGACCTTCTCAGCAGCCCTGACTGTCGCCTGTGATGGGTTCCTAGAGGTCCTGTCTTTCCACATCTGCCATGTGAGCCATTGCACAGGATGCCATGGGTCCTCCTGGCAACCTGGTTGCTCTGGTTCCCTGAGACCCAATTCCACATTCTCATGGGTGATCTTCCAGCTTCTCCCTCTCTTACCAGCCACCCTTCTACAGCCAAGACGTGTCCCAGATGTATGAGAACATTCTGCACCAGCCACTACAGATTCCTGGAGGCCGGACAGTGGCTGCCTGCGACCTCCTGCAAGGCCTTCTCCACAAAGACCAGAGGCAGAGGCTGGGCTCCAAGGCAGACTTTGTAGGTGACCTGCCAGCTACAGCATAGGCCTCTTTGGGGGCTCTCAACTCCCTGAAGAGGCAGCTCAGTGGTACATCACCACGCCTCCTGCTCCCCTCTAAAATCAGCCTGCTAACACCTCCATTGGAAATTCACTACAGCTACCAGCTGTCTACTTTCTTTAATCCAGTTCCTTTAGTAAACCAATGTTTACTGAGCACCTACTACGTGCCAGACATTGAGCTAGGTGCTAAAAATTTAATAGTCTAGGTCTCTGCCCTTATTAAGTGGGGGTGGGGGGTAAAGGAGGCTGACAACAAAACAAAAATAAAAGCAAAGATTATATGCAATTATCACAAATGTAAGGAAGGAAATGATACCACAGGTGGACAATAATGGGAGGAAAAGGCTTCTAAGTGTTCACACCAAAGCTCGATGTGCCAGAGCCAGTGAATGTAACTTCTGGGGCATTTGCCTACCTTTCCTTGCTCCGCTTAAAGAACTGGAAGCTTCTTTCCCAGAAATTAGGTTCTCTCCTTCTAAGGGGAAGTTTGCATCTTCAAATTTATGTGTAATTTTTAAGATAAATTATTCATTCACACAGATTAAAATTCAAAATCTACAAAATGGTATCCAGAAAAAGTCCTTCTGCCTACCCAGTACCTACCTCAATTTAGAGGAAGCACAAATTACTAATTTCTTGGGTATTCTTCTGGAGATTTTGAGTCTGGCTTTTTAACTAGCTCAGAGGGCAGTCCTGATACAGGAGACTGGAGAATCATTTTTTGAGAAACAGCGTTAGAATTCGGATCCTGCTGGGAGGAAAGTTGGTGCCAATGTTTTTTCTGTTTGATCTTTTTCTTTTTGCTGCTGGGGATTGAACCCGGGGTACTTTACTACTGAGCTCCTCCCCCAGTCCTTATTACATTTTATTTTGAGACAGGGACTTGCTACATTGCTGAGGGTCTCACTAACTTGCTGAGGCTGGCCCGGAACTTGTGATCTTCCTGCCTCAACCTCCCCAGTCTCTGGGGATTACAGGCGTGTGCCACCACATTGGCCCAGTGTTGATTTTGATAAGGAAAGAGGTGGTGAAGCATGCCTAGGGCTGAGTCCTCACTTCTGGGTCTCTGGGAATTTGTGGCTTTTCTTGGGGCTTTATTTCTCAAACCTTCCTCTGGATTGCATTCTGGGAAGTCTCAAGATGTACTGATGCATCAGGGGTGGATCCCCAACTCCCTGCTCACTTTCTCACCACCACCCCCCACCTCACGGAACCAGTTCTCATTCCTTGACATTCCGTTCAGACCCTAGAATGGTGTAAGTATTTAGAGAGGTACCCAGTTGCGGATGTACTTTAATGGGGGGTTTTGGATGATGGGGGTGGGGGGGCGAGGCCACAGCCAGGCTGCAGAACACCCAGGAAAACAGCCAGAACTTCAAGGACTGTGCAGTTAAAAGCCAGTTGCTATAGAGTTGGGAGGATGTGGGGGTGGGGGAGAGGAGAGCTACTTCTGATCAGAACCTTCTTCTTGCAGCTGGAGATAAAGAACCATGTATTCTTCAGTCCCATAAACTGGGATGACTTGTACCACAAGAGGCTGACTCCGCCCTTCAACCCAAATGTGGTAAGAGGTCACAGTATTCTAGATTTTGTACTCCCAGCACTGGTCAGAGTTTGGAGAGTATCTGCCCCCCAATTCCCTCCCTCCTTCCCTCTCCCTTTCATTTGGTACCAGGGATTGATCCCAGAGGTAATTTACCACATCCCCAGTCTTTTTATTTTTTATTTTAAGGCAGGGTCTTGCTAAGTTGCTTAGGGCCTCACCAAATTGCAGAGGCTGGTCTGAAACTTGTGATCCTCCTGCCTCAGCCTCCCTAGCCACTGCAATTACAGGCGTGCTCCACTATGCCTGGCCCAACTCTCTTTATGCCAACGGAGACACTGAGTGTTCAAAAGGTTCAATGATTTATCCGAGTCACATGCTAAAATTAGAGGCAGAACCCTTTCAGGCACTTCCAAGTCCGGTCAGCAAGCTCAGCTCTGAGGCAGAAGCCACACTGCTGCATCTTCAGGACCAATAACCCTCATGGCAGGTCCCTTTCCAGTTTGTAAGCTCTGTGTCACACTGCATACCCAGGCAGAGCCACACCCTATGGAGATGTCTTTAGACATTTCCCTGATAATAAAAACGGCCTATATTTCTTGTGGAAAGTATGGAGAGCAGAGAAATTCAAAGTAGTAGGGAGGAAATGCTTTGTATCTCACCACCCAGGGACTTCCAGCCTTTGTGTGTGTGTGTGTGTGTGTGTTTCCATAGTTAAATCATACATTTTTTTGGGTGTGTGTATATGTATTGGTCTGTCTCTCTCTCTACTCACAGTTGCCCCTGTGGGATGCTCAAGTTCCTTATATAAAATAGCATAGTATTTACATATGACCTATGTACAGCCTCTTATGTACTTTAATTCATATAGTTTTTCTTACAATGTAATTTCTATGAAAATACTTGTTATGCTATATTATTTAGGAAATAAGTCTGTACATATTCAGTACCAATAGTATTTCCCCCAAATATTTTTACTCTTCAGTTGTTTAAATCCATGGCTAAGGATTCCCATGAATGTAGAGGCCTAACTATATACAAGTGTGTGTATATCTTTTCCCTTTTTATTGCTTATAGGCTATGCTATTATTTTTTCCACACAATATAAAACTTTATACAAACACCATTTTTAATGGCTGCATAATATTTCCATCCTATGTTAATAACCAGACTTACTTGGGGCTGAAGTTGTGGCTCAGTGGTAGAGCACTTGCTTAGCATGTGTGAGGCACTGGGTTCAATCCTCAGCACCACATAAAAATAAATAAAGATACTGTTTATTCATTTACAACTAAATAAATATTAAAAAGAAAATCCAAGGGGTGGCGGGGGTGGGGGAGGAACTTACTCAGCTGTGCTCCACATGGTGAACTTTAGGCCATTACCATTCATTTTAGTCAGCTTTTCACTGCTGTGACTAAAAGACCCAACCAGAACAACTTTAGAGGAGGAAAAGTTTATTTGGGGAATTGTGGTTTCAGAGGTCTCAATCCACAGACAGCAGGCTCCATTCCTTGGGGCTCAAGGTGAGGCAGAGCATCATATGGCAGAAGAGTGTAGTGGATGGAAGCAGCTCACATGATGATCAGAAAGCAGAGAGACACCACTTGCCAGATCCAAATGCATCCCCCAAGCCTCGCCCCCAATGCCCCACCTCCAGCCACACCCTACCAGCCTTCAGTTACCACTCAATTGATCCCATCATGTGATTAAGTCACTGACTGGGTTAAGGTTCTGGTAACCCAATCATTTCTTCTCGGAACCTTCTTGTATTGTCTCACATGAGAGCTTTTGAGGGACACTTCACATCCAAACTATAACATCATTTTTTTCTTTCATAATGTGCTGATGAACATCTTCTAAGTATGTATCTTTGCCCAGAATTCTGGTTATTTTCTGAAGGTGGGTTTCAGAAGGGTAACTGCACAGTTAAAGACCACCACCGTTTCCAGGCCCTTGGTTTGCACTCGCCTATTCACCACGCACAAGGGAGAACTATCTTCTTCCTCCTGTTCTGTCTTCTGGTGGGTTTTCATCTTCCTCACCCTCTGCAGCATGCTGTTCTTAACTCTTTATCACTTTGCAAATCTGATAAAAAGTGGCATCTCTTAGTGTTTTAATCATGTTTCTTTGATCCACAGTGGAGGTGTCGAGCGTTTAAATGTAACTTATGGTGGTCCCATGACTGAAAGGAGCTGTGTTCGAGGTGGATGAGGGAGGTTCTCTGCGTCACCTGTGCAGCACAGGGTCCCACTTTCTCTACCAGGCTGCATACTGAATACAGCCAATGTTAGTTCATTATTTACTTTTTCTCTTTGGTACCTGTTCATGAATGTGTCTTCGAGCACCAAATTCTTAACAATGGTTGTCATATAGGATACATTCAGTTCAGCACTTGAAAAGTTTTTTTTTTTTTCTTTTCCCCTTTGGATTTTTCTAACTTTGTGGTGCTGGGGTTCAATCCAGGGCTAGCCATGCTCTCTACCAGAGTCCTTTGCTAACCTCCAGCGCTCTTTCCTTGGGATTTTAACAGTAAGAATGATATCACCCATATACCTTAGAGAACGATACACAGAATTCTAGAAAGGAATGCAAAATGATGTAGCAATACAGGGACATCAGAGTGAGACGTACTGGAAATGGATTCCTGGTTCTGCTACCTACCACTCGTGAGACCTTGAAGAATTTTCTTTGGCATCAAATTCTTCATTTGTGAAAAACAGAAAATATCTGCTTATCTTGGGCTACAGGGCTAACAAGGGCCAGAGCTAGGATCCACATTCTGGTCTTGGAGCTCTGAGACCTATGGCTTTCTTTCTTTTTTTTTTTTTTTTTTGTACTGGGGATTGAGCCCAAGGACACTCTACCACTGAGCTACATTCCCAATCCTTTAAAAAAAATTTTTTTTTAGTTGTAGATGGGCACAATACCTTTATTTATTTTTATGAGGGGCTGAGGATTAAACTCAGTGCCTCACATGTGCAAGGCAAGCGCTTTACCACTGAGTCACAACCCCAGTACCTCCCAACCCTTTTTATTTTGAGACAGGGTCTTGCTAATTTGCCCAGGCTGCCCTTGAACTTGTGATTCCCCTGCGTCAGCCTCCCAAGTAGCTGGGATTATAGGTATGTGCCACTGCATATGGCCTGTGACCTTTTTGAGAAGTTGGAAGGTATGGCATGTTTATTTGCAGAGCCCAAGACTTACACGTGAAAGTAGATCTGCAGACCCCTCCACTTGCTCACCTGCTTACTTCATAACATCCAGAGGGTGTTATCTTCTCCTCTGACTGGGTCACCTCTGCAGACTGTATTTGTTAGTTCTAACTGCATAGCAAGTCACCCCAAAAGTGTCTTCAAATAATATTCTTTTCTTATGGGGTGCTGGAGATTGAACCCAGGGCCTCACACATACCAAGAAAGTGCTCTACCACTGAGCTATACCCGCAGCCCTAAACAACAATATTTTATCTTGTTCATATTCCATGGGTTGGCTAGTGTTTTTAAATCTGGGCCAGGCCAGTTATTCTCTGTAGAGCTCTCTCATATCTGTGGTCAGCAGTCAATTGATCTAGAACTGCCTCGTGTGTCTGGGAGTTGGCAGGCTGCCAGGGCACCTGGGTTCTCCTTCCTGCAGCCTCTCACCTTGATTCCCAAGGCACATTTTTTCAAGCCTCCACTCGAATCATTTGTCAGTGTTCCATTGGCATAAGCAAGTCACGTGGCTAACCCATATTTAAAAGATAGAGAACCTCCACCTCTGGATGGTAAATGGAGAATTTGTGATCATTTTTACAATTACTCAAATGGCTCTTCCTGCAAAATAGTTAGAGCAGCCCCAGTCCCTCTCTACCATATTACCCTCTTTTATCTCCTCCATCTGGGACCCTGAACGTTCTACTTGTATAAATGCTTTGTTCAATCCTCCTACCCTCCACATACTGCAAGTTCCTATAAGCAGAGGCTCACTCTATTTTGTTCTCCCTTATTTCCAGTGCCATAAACAATGCCTGGCAAGCATTCAGTGAATATAGGTTAACTGACAGACTTGTCTGAGGATTGGTGTAGAGCAGGCAGGGTGCCTGGGGGTTAGAGAAATCAGCCACGTGGAATAAGATGATTAATGGAGATGCATGGGAAAGTGACAGTTAAGTGTGGATCACCAAGAGGTACTGAGGGGAGGCCTGGCATCCCTCTCCTGGGCTTTCGGTTCCTTTGGCAGCTCTGATCCCAGTGCCCTCTCCTCATCATTGGCTTCTGTTGACAGGCAGGACCTGCTGACTTGAAACACTTTGACCCAGAGTTCACCCAAGAAGCAGTCTCCAAGTCTATTGGCTGCACCCCTGATACTATGGCTAGCAGCTCAGGGGCCTCAAGTGCATTCCTGGGATTTTCCTATGCCCCTGAGGATGATGACTTCTTGGACTGCTAGGAGAAGCACTTGTGAAGCCTCTGAGGCCAGCTGGTAATAGGAGGAATTACTTTCGGCTGCTAGTAAGACTCAACGTAATGTAATAAGTTTGATGGATTGAACAAGAAGTAGGGTCATTTTTTCCCCATCACAGAGGACATTGTTAGGTGACCTGGGCTGGTAGGACAGGTCATTAGATACTCAGAGGCTTTCCGTATTTCTATTGGGTCTCTTGACAAATAGCTTCTGATAGTAGAGTTGATATATTATCACAAGATGGTTACTGGTTCTCTCATCTTCACTTTTGTGTCCTGGACAGGCAAAAGGAGGAAAAGATGAGAGGGGACATCAAAAGGGCACTGTTAAAAGTGCTTTCCCAGCTGGATGCAGTGTACATGCTTATAATCCCAGTGACTCAGGAGGCTGAGGCAGGCGGATTGCAATTTGAGCCAGTCTCGGCAATTTAGCAAGACCCTCAGCAATGTAGCCGGAACTTGTCTCAAAATAAAAGATTAAAAAAAAAAAAAAGGACTGGGGAACTGGGGATGTGGGTTCGATCCCCAGTACTCTGCCCCCAAAAAGTGTTTTCCCAGAAGCTCCATCCAATGACTTGCGCTGATATCTCATTAACCATCCTTTACTGCTGTAATGGAGCCTGGGTGCACGAAGACCCTTAATAGCAAAGAGCTCTAATGCTAAGGGAGATGCGGAGAATATTGGGTGGGCAACTGGCATTCTTTACCAGAAGGCCTCTTGATGTTTGGATACTGAACTCAGTGCATAAAAAGACAGAGCTGTAACAAGCCTACAAGGTACTACCCAATCTCTCTTATTCTGTGTTGATAGTTTCTTTCTTTGTTGTGGGTAGTGTACTGGATGTGTACTCTTTGCTATTATTGGTTTGGCTGCCTGGCATCTAAGCCCCTTCTAATAGACAGGGAATTCCTTACTTTATGAGCCTCGATGAGTCTCCCTATCTCCACTCAAAATGCCATATATTGACTTTCCCCTGAGCTAGGGCCAGGAACGTGACCCAGCAATACACCCATGCCATGCTTTGAACCAAAAAGGGATCAGAAGCTCTCTTTCAGGTGGCTGTGGTAATGGTACCTACAAAACTAGGTTCCTGGTGTAGAGGTGGCAACAGTGCAAACTGTAGTAGTAATGAGTCCTCAGCAGCAGCAACTGGAGCAGTTTCCTCATCAGCCCAGTGCTGTAAGGTCTGTCATTCCTGGAAGCCTCAAGTCCCATTCTCAAGCTGTGCCAAGGACTTAAAGAGCATCTGACTCACCGTTACATACAACGATAATGCACTAATAAAAAATATGGAAAGTAAAGGGCTGGGGATGTAGCTCAGTGGTAGAGCACTTCTGGGTTCATTCCTCAGTACCACCAACATAAATAATAACATAACAATTGGGGGGCAGGTCTAGGGGATTGAACCCAGGGGTGCTCTACCATTAAGCTACATCCTCAGCCCTTTCTAAAATTTTGAGATAGGGTCTTGCTAAGTTGCAAACTTGCAACCCTTCTGCCTCAGACTAAGCTTCTGAGCCTTTTAACACTCCTTTTTTTTTTTTTTTGGCTTAATTGGGCAAAGTCAGCTTCAGAATGCCTGTCTACGCTGAGCAAGTTTCTCTGTTAGACTCTTCATTGCCCATTAGCAATTTTCTTCCAAATAACCATAAGAAGGAATTATTACGATTTTATTTTTTGCCAATTGAGAAACAGAGTTGGAGGGGCTGGGGATATAGCTCAGTTGGTAGAGTACTTGCTTCACATGCATGAGGCCCTGGGTTCAATCCCCAGTACCAAAAAAAAAAAAAAAAAAAAAAGAGAAACAGAGTTGGAGAAGTTAACTTCTTGCTTGAAGGCTAGGCCGTTAATAAAGGCTAGATCTGGGATTTAGAGCCACATAACCTGGCTCCAGGGCTCTCACCTTTAACCTCTGTGAGAGTTTGCCCTTCACTCAGACTGTTAGGTCCAAGCAGAATGACTATCAAAATCTCTAATGAGAGCCAAAGTAAGAATTGGCTAGAATAAGCCAGGTGGTGAGAAAAAGAGGTCTTGTGGAAAAGACAGTGAACTGGACTCCCACTCATGGTCTTAGTTTGGTTGTCAAAATCATGCCCTGCCCCACTTCACATGGGCAGCTCAGGCCTTGGTGACTAGAGCTTCCTGGTCACTTATGCAGCTCTGTATGTTCAGTATTAGTCATTTCTAAAGGCAATTCATATTGGACAGAATGTGAACATGCACAACCTCAGGAATTCAAGACTGCTCTTATGGGATGAATTATACTGCCTTATTTTGGTAGAAAAGTGTTTTTTTCTTCACAAACCTGTAGTATGTACTTCATGTGGCTTTATTAGTTTTTTGATTTGGGGACAAGGGGATCGATGTGCTGGCAATTTTATTGCCTTTGCCTCTGAACTCAGTCCCACTCTCTTCCTTCCATTTTGTTTCCCTCAATCTCCTACCCCAGGAATTATGGGGGTGGCCGGGAGAGCATGGAAAGAACACTAGGGACACTGACCTAAAGCTGGGTCAGGAAGAACCAATGTTAAGTTTTGACATGTGCTGAGAATATTGAAAGAAACTGATTTCCATCTTAATAGTGCTTGCTAACTGCCAAATTTGGAATGTGAGGACAAAATCCCAACTCATCAAAGCAAAAATCAAGAGTGTAACTATCAGACATAATAGTACTGTTAAAAGTACACAATCAGCTATGAATTGTGAAGAGAGTGGTTCTATCCAAGATTGTAAAGTCACAAAAATTTTCACCAGGACAGAAAATAAAAATGAAGAAAAACTATGCTACTGAATTGATCGTGCTACACCTATGTTTATGGAGCACATTCTAAGTTTTATATGTATATTTTACAATTCTCACTATAAGCCAGCATTTAGAAATTATTAACCTCATTTTATAGGTAGGAAACATTCACTCAGAGATTAAGCAACCTGCCCAAGTTCTTGCACCCAGCTGGTGCAAGTCACAGCCAGGAACAGAACTTGGTGGCAGGTGACTGAAAAACCTTGTTATATGACAGTGAGAGAAGTGCTTTTGGGCAGGTGCTCTTGGTCTTCAAGCAATTACTGACTGCACAAAAGGCAGAAGGATCAGAAGGATCCAACTACATGACTTCCATTTTTATCCCTAACTGCAGACTGTATTCATCCAACTGTGCACCAGTAGCAGCTTCTGTAAGAGAATTTGTCCAGGAGATACAGCTCAGTGGTAGGGCATTTTTGCACGTGGATGCCCTGGGTTCCATTCCTTTCACAGGGGGAAAAACAAAACAAAACAAACAAAAACCTCTCATTCACCCTCTTCCTCTTTTAAATCTGCTGTCTTGGTAGTTGTGAAAAACCAACTCAAGTTGTGTGTGTTTTAATACCCGAAACCCCCAATACTCTGTATATATTGAAGACAAACATAAATGTAAACAAAAACTGTCAGATGTCTCTGCACTCATCTGTTTCAGCCTGGTGGCTGCCACAGCCCTGTAGACAACAGCACAGCTCTATTAGGGCAGACACAGAGAGCTCCTCAGGGGAGAAGGGTGGATGGTTTGTGGTTGTGGCGTTTCCATTCCCATTTTTATGGCGATATCAGGGCAACCTATACGTGGTGATGGCTCTTTTGCACAAGCAATTCCTTCTGTCCACAACTCTTTTCCCCATTGACTTAATGATTGCCCCTCTTCTTTCAGATCTCTGCTGAGGAAGGGCTCCTTTCTAACCAGCTCGGGCCCCTCACAACTCCCTAAGACAGTTTATATTTTTACATTTTGCTAGGACCTGGCCAAGGTCTAAACCCCCGCCTGCGGACGCCTAGAGGGCAGCATGTCACCGCTATATCCCCGACGCTCAGGCCGGGCTGGTACTGTGGTGCTCAATGATGTGCAGTTAATAAAGGGGAACATCTGGGGGTACTACTCTCACCGTTACTCTTGCCCACCCTCTTCGAGGAACTCGTCTCTGTCCTCTCAATCTCCTCGCATCAGGCATTACACCGCCAGGGAGGTGCTTCCAGCAGCCGGCGATCAGAACTCCTGACACACCCTCCCACCTTCCGGCCCAGACGTTCTGCGCCTGCGCCCTGGGGACCCAGGCTGGGGGGCGCTCCGACACGCCTTCCTCCGCCGCCGGAAGCCTCCACTATTTTGCGCCCTTGGAGTGGGGCGAGCTCTAGGTCCTTGGGACGTGCCATTCTTATTAGTTTTTAATAGCAGTTGTTATTAAGGAACAGAATGAAATGGACTTCTTTTTGCCGAAAAGTTAATCCTCGTTGGGTTTGTATTTACCCCTCCTCCCATAGTAATGGTATAATCCCACATTAGTCCCGCCCGCGCCTGAGGCCCGCGGCAAACGCGCAGCTGCCGTTCTGTCGTCATCACGTCCCTGCGCTCCACGCGGAGTTCCACGTCCGGGACACGCCTTCTCGCGCGCGGGAGCGCCTTCGCAGTTGCTAGGCGGCCTTGGATACCTGTCCGCGGGATGTTGGGCGACGTCAGGTGAAGATGGTGGTCACTGGGCCTCAGGTAGGAAGGACTCCGACTGGAAGGGGTCGGCCCGGGCGATGGGGCGGCTTAGGGGCTAACGGCGGCCTAGCCAGACTGCCCACGAGGCTCCTGGGCCAGCCTTCAGGAAAATCGGAGGTTGGCCGGGGTAAAGGAACCGAGCGCGCGTAAATAGGCCGGGTCCTGGATCTCGGACTGGGCTCGAATCTCCATCGCCTCGGACTGCGCGGGTTTTTAATCGTCCTGTTGAGTGTGAAAGCGTTGGATGAGCAGACGTATGGTGTAGGTCTCTTTTCATTGCTGCCACCCTTGGTCTCTTCATCACTCTTCTGGGAAAGTCCTGATTGGACTAGTAAGATTATTGAAAAGAAGGCTAGAGAATAGTTGGGGAGATATTGTTTTAATGTTATTATTGTTGTGTTAAAGTCCTTTCCCATCCTCAAGGAAGCTCATTTCTGAGTCTTTTTAATAGGTCAGCCCCTCAGGTCTGCTGCCCTCTCCAGGGATGCAACCACAATAAGCCGTTAACTGAAATTGTAGCTTTCATTGCACTTTCCCTTTAAAAACCATAAAATGACAAAAGAAGTTTAATGCCTTTTCCTAGGTTTTTGTTCTTTGCCA